TGTGGTCTAAAGCCCACCTAAGTGCTAATGGACGTCTATCCCAAATTCCCCATCGTGTCATAATTAACTAATCGGGGAAAATTTCATAAATAGTAAAGAGATTAATTTTAGGGAAAATTGTATATAATAGCAAATTATTAATTCAAATTAAATGTTATAAATATAGTTTGATTTAATTGTACCTCATAGCAAACTGTTGCTATTTCACCTCTCTCCTGGTGAATCTCGCTCGCCACTCTCGTTTTTTATACAATCGCAAGTGTATAAAGTGTGTTTGTGTTTGTATAAAGCGAGAGAAAATTGTATATATACATATATTTTCATTCCCCTCTCTCCCCTCTCCCAGATCTCGCTCTCTCACTCGCCTCTCTCACTTTATACAATTGATCTTTTTGTATATGTATACCAAAGCAGATTATACAACTGTTTTTTTTTGTATATGTATAGCGAATTATGCATATATAAGTTTGCTATGGAACGCAATTATGCAAACTTTACTATAGCATACAAATATAAATTTTGTGTTTGCTATATGTGAAAGTTGCTCTTAATTTTAATAAGTCTCCTTAGTTACAATTTGCTTAATTATGCTTCATAACTATAGTTTCATTTGTTATGAGTATTTTTGTTTGGATAATTAACTTGTATATAATTCTCTTGCAAATATACAAACATGGTAAGTATATATAAATTCTATATTTATACATTTAACAATTTTTCAAAACTTATACAAATCAAATGTATCAACAAAATAATGATATAAAATTCATGGCAAATACAAATTTTGAATCTATACAATTAGGAAAATTCTGAATTTATATAATTAGGAGCCGAATTATACAAATTCTGGATGTGGGTCATGTAATTATGATTATAAGTTAGTGGCGAATGGTAATTTAATTAAAATGTAGCTATGTTAACTAATTAACTAGTATATATTGTTTATCCACGTAATTTTCCCTAACTAGTATGGTCATCATTCACACAAATGCCTTTTTTTAGTGGTCTATACATGGTCGGCTTAATTAAGGATATATAGTTATAATTTGCTTAATTACGATTCATAGCTAAATGTTAGAAAAAGAAAAGAAGCGAGCAAGACTAGAGTGGGAGGAGAGAGACGAGAGATCTAAGAGAGAGGTGAGAGATATACAATTGATTTGCATATATGATTGATTATTGCATCATGATACAATTGATTTGTATCAATGAGTACAATTGTATCAAAAACCAACTACATGTTAGACAGAGGAGAGAGGTGAGCAAAATTGGGAGAGGGAGGAGAGAGGCGAGCGAGATTTGGGAGAGAAAGGAAAGAAATGAGAGAGATACAATTGATATGTATATCTGATCGATAATTGTATCACATATACAATTAACACAAATGATTTGTGTCAATGAATATAATTGTATCAAGCTCAAGTTTATTAATGAAATACAATTTGTATCAACGAATATAATTATATCAATGTTGTATTTCATAAAATTGTGTGTATTCATGTGTTGTCTTGTGTATTTGTATTTATATGTTACCATGTGTGTTTGTATTTGTTACCTTGTGCATTTGTATTTATGTATTTATATGTTGCATTTGTTGCCTTGAACATTTGTATTTGTATCACTGAAATATAATATTTGCATTTTGAATTATAAAACATGATCTGTATTATTGAAATATATCATTGTATTTGATACACTAAAAATGATTTGTTCAGTTGTCAATTACCATTTGTATTACTGATTGTTACTATTTGTATCATTTATTGTTACCATTTGTATTGTAGAGAGAAGATGAGGCGAGTGAGAGAGGGAAAAGAGAGGAGAGAGAGAGAGGGGAGGGGGGAATATGCTATAAAATTCTAATTATAGCTACAAATTGTAATTCTCTTAAATTACAATTTTATATAATAAATACATATCACATGTTTGTCTTAACTATGTAATTTTTCCAACAAAAAAAAACTAAGGGAAAACTAATCATATGACCCATAAAAGCAAACTAATTACAGGCCTATACCCCCTTACATTTATGTCCCCTAACTAATTACAATAAATGTCCATTTCCTTATAGCTTTAGTTATTTAGCTCATTTTTAATTCTATTGCTTTTTATTTCTCTACTTTTCTTTTTTCTTTTTATGTTTCTTTGTTTATTTAAATTGTTTAATTTATTCTTTATTTCTTTTTATACCATAATCTGAATTATATTCAATATTTATTTCATATACTTTTTTTTCTCATTTATTTCTTTATTCGTTTATTTTTTTTTGTACTTCTTTCACAATCATATGATGAGACATGTTGATGTAAATTAACTTTCATTTTGTGCGCAAGCATGTTGAAAAGAATGGGATTTGTGTTATTCATGATGATGATCAACTTAATGACACCCTTATCAGAGCTCTAATCAAACTTGCATTCGATCGTAATTTTTTCAAGTTAGACTTAGTGGCACATCATCTAACACATCATTTATGTTTATCTTAAACCATGTCATTTATGTTTATTTCTTATTTCTACCTTTTAGCATAAATTATTATTTGATATAAATATTTTATAAAAAGTTTGGATTTTAGTTAGGATAGTCTATTATATTTTGATTTACACACTCCTAATGATTGATATAATGAGTCTTTTTAAAAATAATGTGTATTAAGTTCACTAAGACTTTTAATAAATGTAGTTTCATCTTTTCTTCAATTGTTTATAAGTATGTCACATAAATTAAGATCGAAAGCTCATATGAACCAAAATTGTTATTTCTCCTTAAAAATATTAATAAACAGAAAAAAATAGTGATTATTCCTTTACTTTAGGAGGAGAATGAGGAAGGGAAGATGACTCATAGTAAAAACTATTATTACATAAAAAATATTCACTCTCTTTTCTTTTCTTTGAGAATTCTCCCAAAAGTATCAATCATCTTTTCTATTTTTTTCTCAGTTCTCTCTAATTCTTTTTTTGACATGTCTTCTCTTTCTTCAAATCTCTCTTTACTAGACTATACAAAAGAATAATATGAAATATATGAGTTTTACATTATCATTTTGTTCATTGTTTAGATAGAATTAGGTTATATTAAAATACTAGGGTTTGTAATTGATTTCGCATGCAATTGCATGCATTTTTTTCATTTGATAATTTAGTATGATTTTCGATAGAAAATGATTATTCTTGGAGCGTGACAAGGATCTATTCGATGTGATTTTACCTAGCTAGGGTTAATCAAGGATTCTTTAAAAATGCTTTTGTCACAATATGAGGAATCTCCACCTTCCTCCTCCTCGTCCCCACCGTTACACGATAACTCTTCATCCAATAATTCAAATTCTAAATCATCTTTATATAACAAGGATTCATCACCTATCCCGCTATCTAGAGATAGTTATAACTATTCTTCTAATGATAACAACGACAACAATAATAGTATTAAATTACATACTTCATCTAAATTGTCGGATTCATCTGAAGGAGGATCACAATCCCCTCCACCCCCACCACCTCCACCTCCACCCCCACCGCCG